TCTCATTTTCTCTCTTCATATCATATATATATATATATATATATATATATATATATATATATATATATATATATATATATATATATATGCACCCACTAGGAGGAAAGAAATATTATTGTCACATTTTTTATTTAATATAAATTTCGTAAAATAAATTTATAATGCATAAAGTATTTGTTTACCATGGCATAATGTTGCAGTATGCAAAACAAAATTCATTAAAAATTGTTATATTAATGAAATTATATGATAGTAAAAAAAAATGGAGACGAAAAAAGTATTCGTACAGCATTATAATACTCATTTAATACTTTGTAGTATATCCCTTACACAATTCAACAGCAATCAGTCTCTTTCTGTAGCTTTTAGTCAATGACTTGCTAGTTTCCGTTGGTAGTCTATCCTTCTTTGCATAGTCTTTTTAAGTCCAGGATGTTTTTCGGAGATCTTTATTAACTTGAATTTTTAATAAACCTTAAAAATTATTCATTGGATTCAAGTCTGGAGAGGGTGATCGCGATTCGAGTGTATTGATAATGTTTACAATATGCCATTTTTTTTCGTAGATTTAGCCGTATATTTGGGGTCTTTATTTTGTTGCTAAAACCCATACATTTGAGAGTCCAAGCTTTACTACTGACCCAAAAAAATTAGAGTCAAAAACATCTTGGTATAATTTCGAATTCATTCTACTACCTATTATCTCTAAATTATCCGTAGCATTAGCAGAAACACAACCCTAACCTAAGATATTGTCACCACCAAATTTCACCGTAGGGATTGTGTTCTTCGGTGCAAAGGCTGTGTTGTCTTTTCTCCACACTCGAGTCCTTGAATTACACCCAGGTCGTTACATCTTTGTTTCATCTGTCCATAAAACACTTTCCCAAAATGATTCAGGCTTCTTATGCCCATGAACAAATTTCAAACGGGCATCACTATGTTTCTTCAATATTAGTGGATTTATTCGTGGAGAACGCGATCTTAGTAGACTTCTATGTTGTTCTTTGCTTGTTTCCGTTTAATAATACCTAATACTTTTAATTCTTCCTATATTTCTCTTCTACTAATCATTGAATTTTCTTGAATTTTGCGCTGAATTCTTCTCATTGAGCAAGGAGAAATCTTCCGTGGTGAACCAGATCTTAATATCTTCAAGTTTTCAGATTTTTCTTTTATATTTAGCAATAAGGGAACTAACAGTAATAAATGGTATCTGCTATTTTCCTAGAGACTCCCTTAATGTTTGATGCGCAACTATTTTTTGCGAATTTGATAGATTCTTGCCTTTCATCATGATGAAAATTATTGCGTATGATTTGTGTGCGGAGATAACCTTATATAAGAAATGAATTGCAAAATGTTCTAGACTGACCGGTAATAAGATAATTGAAAGAATCTATAAAATTCTCACAAATAATTATGTAAATAAACATAATCTAAGCCATTTGATATTAAAAGACAATTTGTATGAATACTTTTTTCGACTCGAAATTCTATAAATAACACAATTTCAATTATAACAATGATTTCTAATTGCTTTTCGCATATTGTAGCATTATGCAATGATGTCAAAATATGTTGCGGATACCCCGAAGAAGGCTGGATGAGATGAGTCCTGCGCCACTTTATTAAATTTATCAAAAGAGGCCTGCAAATTTAAAAGAAAAATAAAACGTAGATCTGACTGGTCACCAACAATGACAACAATAATGACGTATATTATATTAATATTTTTTTTAAATTATTTACAATAAAATACAATTTAGAAACTCAAAAACAATGATCAAAGTTCCCATAAACGAGACTAACACAAAAATTCACGGAACGAATAATACTGTGAAATAGGATCTCTGAAAGAAATTTTACAATAAAGTTTATACACTTATATTAACGTAACAAAGATCCTTAGAATCAATGGAAAAGTGAAATGTAGCATGTACAAAATAGTACATGGAAAGGAAAGTTTATGTTCGGAACTGAATGTATTATAATTTCCCATTTGTTAAGTTGACAGTAATAAAAGTTCATGTATGGAACAGAACAAGTTCAGAACTGAACGTTGACAAAAGAGGACATGACGTCACACATTATGAAATGGACAAAGTCCGACAATTATTTTAAGACATTTTTATATTTAACATTCTTTTTATAGATGCAAATATTTAAGTAAATGCTCTGTTTATAATAAAAGAGGACATGTATCAAATTGGTAGAAGATAAAATTCATGTTCGGAAGAGTACAAAATAGAGGCTATAACACACCAAATCTGTATTGCTTACACAAACAAAATAAACCAAAGATTGATGTAAAAATGAAGGATGCTGACCAATTTTGATGAGTTAAGTGATATGCACCTAATTCAACGAAAAGATTCGATATTTAAATTAAATTCAGTAGAGTCCTCTGATAAAACAGGGTTTGACTGGAAATAAAACAGTATCCGAAGTAGTTATTCTGATGTCGCATTGTTGCTGGTTGTTAAATAAACAGATATTACCTAAATCCCCTTCGAAATAAAATTAGCGGAAATTCGTCGAAATCGTTGATTAACCGTTGAAATCGACTGAGTTGACGTCAGGGCAGGAAAACTGCCCGTAGAAATAAACCAATGTTACGGTACAAGTTAACACAAAATTCACGTAACAAATAATAACGTTAAATAGGGTCCCTGAAAGAAATTTTACAATAGTTTATACACTTATATTAACGTAACAAAGATCCTTGGAATCAATCGAAAAGTGAAATGTATCATTTACGAAATAGTACATGGAAAGGGAAGTTCATGTCGGGGGTCGAACATCGTAAAAATGTTCATGTATTAAGTTGACAGTAATAAAAGTTAATGTACGGAACTGAATCAGTTCAGAATTGAACGTTGACAAAAGAGGACATATATCTAAATGATACGAGATAAGGTTCATGTACGGAAGAGTACAAAATTGAAGGTATAACACACAGAATCTTTAGAACTTATACAGAAAAATAAACCAAAGATTGAGGTATAAATGCAAGATACTGACTGATTTTGATGAATCGGGGGATATGAACCTAATTCGACGAGAAGAATCGATATTTGTATTTAAGTCAATAGAGTCCTGACAAAACAAGGGTTGACTGTTAATAAAACAATGTTCGAAAGGGAAACTTGAAGATGAAGTTAGCCTGATGTCGAGTTAATAATCCGATATAACCAAAGTCCCCTTTGAAATAAAATTGGCAGGAATTCACTGAGAACGTTGATTAAGCGTAGGGATATACTAGGCTAACAACAGGACGAAAAAAAAACGTAGAAATTAACGAATGTTACAATACAAGTTGTTTGATGTCTGGACGAATAGCTGGTCGCAAAAATTAGTCAATGAAATTCAGAAGAGTGTTGCTTCCTGCGCAAGATTGTATTCGATAGATTTTGAAATAGGAACACCGGAACGAGTGTAATGCGCATGACCATGCGGAAATAGACGGCTGTGGGGGCCATTGGTTATGTTTAGTCTGGTTAGATATTGTCAAAATATTCCAGTAAACTTAGTATCAGGATATGACACTCGCCATCACACAAAAAGGTTCCAGCGTCCAGTAGGCAGACAAAAAAAGAAAAAAAAAGTGGGGTGTAACAATACAGATCTCGTGTTATGGTCATAATATAGACCGTTTTTCCACCTACATTCGTGTGAGATTTACCTTGACCCCACCACTGAGTTAGGTTGTGACACAATGTCGGTTTTAACGTGGGAACCTGAGAGATTCTACTTGGGCCGCTGGTCTTAGCTTGTCTAAGCTAGTTAAACCTTGACTAAGCTATTCTTAGCTTGTCATACAAGAGCTACGTAACAGATGTCACGTAACAGTGGTGGGGAACGCAAAGGAGGAGAGAAGGCCCCCGGCAGGGAACAGATACTACAGGCGCAGCATCTACTCCGACGGGGGAAAAAACATCTTCTCTTCCACTCCTCTCAGAAGAATCCGGGGTTTGAGGTGGCTTTGGTGAGACCTACTAGTGAGTCAGTCGTTCACTTTTGAACCGACTGCTCGGTTGAACTCTCTTCCTACGGACGGGAGGAACCCGAAGGAGGTTCCGCCGAAAGGAGGCTCCGCCGAAGGAGGCTCCGCCGAAGGGGAGGTAAACCGGCCCTGAACCCGTTTATACGGGTTCAATGGGCATATTTTTGGACGAGCCTACGGGCTCGGAATGCCCACGTTAAAAAGGCCTTGTGCCACATGACACCCTCGTGGGGGTGGGGTGACTCAATATCGTGAGACCTACTACCATTTGTCCAAGATTTATTTGACCCTTCCTCTGAATCAGGTTGTTACACAAGGTCGGGTTTTTTACGTGGGACCCGAGTGCTTCCACTCTGGTCGCTGGTCTAAGCTTGTCTAAACCGGTCTTACCTGCGTATACTTTGTCTAAACTGGTCAGAGCTTGAGTTAATCACAGCCGGTCAGACTACCGCTACGTAACAGATGTTACGCAATGGTAGGAGGAACGCAAGCGGAGAAGGAATCTAGCACGGAACAGGTACTACATCTACAGCATTCATCACGACTAGAAAACCCACTCCTCCTCCTCCTTCTTATACTCTTTTGAGTGTTAAACCCCTTAGACATTTCTTAGTTATCTAACTAGGCGAAATACATTTCAATAAAGCGCCCGCAAATTGACACATTGAAATGTCTATCTGTACTTTTTAAGCAGAAGGTTTCTTGATATCAGAAGTTATGATTATACACTGATTGATTTGAATTTTTTGCGGGTTAACAGCCTTTTGCAGGTTATTTCAAGCCCAAGATTATCTTTAGATCGTAATAGTTTTCTTGGAGATAATAATGATTTACTTTTAAATTCCTACAAATTAATATTCAGCTAAAAGGAGAAGAGCTGGACTAATAGCTTTACAAAAAAGGTATTTGCGAGTAAGTGAATATAACGAACCCCATTGCAATTACGATTTGCCTCTTCTATTTCTAATTCTAAGCTTTTAACTAATGCATCAAGCTTACAGCTCTTGGTATTCCCAAGCGGTCACCAATCTATATACTAACCTGGCTTGAAGTTGCTTAACTTCGGTGACCGGTGATCGTACGAGAATAAGTGTTTTAACGGGATACGGTCGTAATTATATATACCAGTCACATATCATCGGCTAAAAAGTAAAAACAAACTATTGAAACATGAAATCTTATGTGTAGTGATTACATGTTTTTCTTATTATCTCTTGTAATCAAAATAAAATACACACACACACACACACACACACACACACACACACACACACACACACACATATATATATATATATATATATATATATTGTTGTGGATTCTCAAATGAATGACAAATGCAGGAAGGAAATATAACAAATAAATATATTGCCGTAATAATACAATTGGTAATATGGTTAGTAGATCCAGAAATGCGGTTAGTAGCAATAATATATATACAGTCTGGTAAATTCAGTATCGAAGTATGACTTCCTTCTGAGTCTACGTGCTCGCAACTGTGACTCCTACAAAGCGGTTACCTCACACTCTCACTCTCTCACTGAATCACTCCCTCTGACTTCCGGCTATTCACCAGCAGCAGTACAAGTACACACTAGGCGAGTCCACTTGTATGAACAAGGGTGGACACCATAACATATATATATATATATATATATATATATATATATATATATATATATAGTAATTGTTAATTCAAATTAATTATCAAAATGTCTATTGAGTCTGGCGATTATCCTCACCAGTTTTCGAATTAGCCTCGTTGTTGATGTCTTAAATTTGCAAAAGATATATGTCTATATATCTGTATATCTGTGTCCAATCTTTCAACTTTCCTGTCATCGTAGATGATCTAATGCGGCGTGATATTTAAATTTAAATGCGTCACGACAATCAACGTAGAAAGTGTCGGATGACGTATGTAGATGTTTTCAATAAATTTTGGTTTATTGCTTCAGTGTACTATTTTTGTTATTTATAAGGAGCTGTCTACTCTTCTGCTTATGCTGAATAATAATATGCTATTTAAAATAACTTTTTTTCTGAAAAATGACACATGAGGGATCGCGAAAGGGAGTTTGTTGTGTAACCTAGATAACACATATATTGCCCATTGTTTCGGAAGATTCAATATCCAGCTGAATAAATTAATTCGTAAAACAACATTAGTCTTATATAGGTGTTGATAGATTTGATAACTATTATATTGTACAATTAATTTTTTTACAATAAGTGTTAAATTATACAGAGTTATTTTTCCTCGGCTTCAGTAATTGATATCTCTATGCATTATAATTGTTATAGCTATTTCATTCATTCACACACACACACACACACACATATATATATATATATATATATATATATATATATATATATATATATATATATATAGAATATATATATATATATATATATATATATATAGAATATATATATATATATATATATATATGTATATATATAGAATATATATATATATATATATATATATATATATATATAAGCATAATGAGAAGCCACGTATACTTTCTTAATATGTATATATATAGAAAAGTTTCAAATTAAAAATTATTATAAAACATTATAATTTTTAATTTGAAACTTTTTATATATATATATATATATATATATATATATATATATATATATATATATATATATATATTTTCACTGTATGATGGTCCTACGTCATTCCCAAGCCTAGATGTGCCCTTTATATTGTACCCGCATTGTATTTATACTACTACTACTACTACTAATAATAATAATAATAATAATAATATACTCCATGAAAAAAGACGCTGCACACTTCAAGAAACATCTTAAGGTACCTGAAATAATACCAAATAAAAACGAAGTGAATACCATCTACAGAAGGCAAAACAACTTGGCCAAATGAAATTACAAATATGGAAAAACATGGTGTTGCGTGGCAAATACGTAAAAAGAACGGTAGTATCAGGTGTGGACTAACAGAATACCTATCTGTGGCTGAGGAGCACTGGGTTGAATGTTGAGACAGAAGGCCTAAATATTGCAGATCAGGATCAAAGACTCGCAAGCAGATCCTATCACTGTCACATAATCAAGAAACCACTGAGAGATGGGACGACCACCAACCAGACACAATAACGATGTAACTAACACCTTGGACATATCAATTCGAACTAGCAAGGAAATAAAAGCCAATCGAGATGATATTATCATAAAAGACAGAAATTCAGGAAGTGTATCCTTATTAAACATAGCACTACCTACTGGGAGAAATGCCTCTGTGAAAATTATCGAAAAATTGTCCAAATACAATGACCTGCAGTTCGAGATTAACAGGATGTGGAGAAGGATGACTGAATCTCTACCAATAGTAATCTTACCTTTGGGTCTCGTGAGAACGAGAATGACCAATTTTACTAACAGTGTCCAAGGTAAAAACAACATACAAGTTGCCCAGAAGATCGTCCTACTAGAAATATTACATAAATTGTAAATGTGCTATCAGCTGACTGAAAATTCTCCTACAGGGCCTAAGGACCATAGTCTGAGCCATGGTCTACAGGATTCATACCAGGAAGCAATAACATAAACAAAAGATATATATATATATATATATATATATATATATATATATATATATATATATATATATATATATATATATATATATATATATATATATATATATATATATATATGTATGTATATGTATACAGATAGATAGATAGATAGATAGATAGATAGATAGATAGATAGATAGATAGATGGGGAGAGAGAGAGAGACAGAAAGATGGTGCGATAGGTAAATTGTCGTCTAAATGACGCGAAAATGAAAATAACACTGACAACTCATTTTAACAAATATATAATTACCAAAATTACACAAAAATATCTTGAAATACTAAAGACTAAATTTAGTCAATAAAATCGCCATTGGCTTTAATCCCTGTCTCGAAACCACTTCGGAATATCATACATCTCATCTGAATGGTCTCCTTTTTTAAGTTGGTGAATCCTTGCTTTCTGTTCATCTTTGGTGTTACAGGGTGTTTTTTTTGGTCTCTCGCTCAATCGCGCCAAACACATAATAATCAAGGGAGTGCAGGCTGGGGAGATTTGTTGCCAGATGTAAGGTTGTGATGTGGTCGGAGAAATTGTCTGACATCCATGACTGATTTCTCCTTCTTGTGTGCCATGTTTCAGAGTCCTGTTGCCAGACATGGGGTCTTCCTGCAGCTAGCCTCTTGACCATCTGCGCACTACCTCCTCAACGCACTTGATGTAGGCATAACGACGTCATCACTCTTGATCACTCCAAGCATCATGATGTTGGCTGGGTATATCATCCAGCTCTTTGCGAATCCTCTGGTCTATTCTCAGAGTGGCATTCCCACCATAAAATCAAGGTCGTTTTTCTTTTTTAGAAACATCAGCGCCAGTTTCTGAGCTGCATAATCATCATTTGACTAATACATCACTTTCTGCAATAGTCCTGGATTGAGACGCAAACACCCTGAAATGTTCGTATTGTAGCTTCCTGTGCGAATGCCAAGCAGTACAGCATGCTGTTTCCAAATTCATGGCGCAGTGAATTGCGTCATGGTGTTCTTTTTTCTCACAGATGGTGCCCAACTGACCCAATAATATTGTGAATCGAAAAAATAAAAAAGGTAAAACGCTCATGCGCGAAATTAAAAAAATATGAAATAGCGATAATTTACATATGGAACGCTGCATATATATATATATATATATATATATATATATATATATATATATATATATATATATATATATATATATATATAGTAAATGTATCAAATACGTTGGTATATACTCTGAGGGTTCCTTCTAAAATTAAATATCAAAAAATTGGGAATTGAAGTAGAAATGTTTGAGCCCACAGTTTGTAAGATTATAGGTTTTGTACGTACTTATAATATTCTTAGAGACAGGTGTGACTTACGTTTGGAAGAAAAAATTGGAATAGTAAATATACTAATTGTTATGATGAGATAACCCAACTTCCCCATTCACGATAATGGACGGTCCGGTGGCCGATAAAGTACGACCACAGGCAACAGTGGAAAAAAAGAGGTCTTCGTTCACTAACACCATTGCGGTTAGCTTACTCCTGACTCTGTCTCTGTATTTTGACATACCTACATCCGATTATAAAATTATTATTGAAAACCACACTCGGGTTTACTTCGTTTATTATATCTTGTACGAGATATAACACTAATCAAAGCCAAGTATTGAATCAGAGGAATGAATTAGTGTTAAAACAAATTCAAATTTTCATAATAAAGGTTTAACTTAATTAGCTTTTGTATTTCCATAATATTCAACTACCCTCTAACACTTCTAATGTGGAAAGTCTAAATAGTTCTAATTTAAATATCCCCCTCTATAACCTCTTTGGACTATATAAGTTATAATTTATAATTTATAAACTTTCCCCTTCTCTAAGATCTCCCCAACTCTTTTTCCATTATGCCCTTACATCCTTTTATCTATATATTTTATAATTATTTTAATCGTATATTTCCTCTTTTAATTTTAAATTAATATTTCATTCTTCAAAAATTAATGTCATAAGGTAAATATTCGAGTTTAAGTTTATAATACTTCTTCCCTTTATGACAAATGAAGCCGACCCTCCCCTGTTGCCTGCCTCGTGGGTTCGTCTGACTAAAACATTGAAATGGTTAAATTCTCTATTTGTTTTTCGACTGCTTTTTTTTTTCTTTAGCTTTCACAGTTAGATTTCTATTTCTGAAACGAACTCAGCCGACACCGGGGTTGATCAGACAGCGGATACTTACTATCTATCTATCTATCTATCTATCTATATATATATATATATATATATATATATATATATATATATATATATATATATATACGTGTGTGTGTATTGTCAATGAATCCTTTTTATCCTTGCGTACCCATTGTCAAATGTTTAATCATTTTTATTTCTTTTTGTGTTTATTTTCATTTGTTCTTGAGCTAGAGTGTTGGCATTATTCATGGGTTCTTTTATATCCCATTGAATAAATTGGCAATTATGATTATTTTTATGTTGCAGAACCAGTCTATATTTGTCATACTT